TTTTTTTTTTTTTTTTTTTTTTTTTGTTGTTTTTACCTACAACAGCGTTTTCACTAAGATACTACAGATTAAGAAAGAAAAAAAATAAATAAAATTTGTAACGAAAAAGCGGAAATGCAAAAAAAAAAGAAAATTAAAAATTAAAAATAAGAGGCAAAAAAAAAAATTTGTAAATGTAAAAGTATAAAATAATTATTGAAAAATACGTCATTACTAAAAGTAATTAACAGCTATATATCTGATAATACTTCTGCTTCATCTTCACCTACCAATTTCGCACAATCTTATAACCATTCTCTCGATTGTTCTTTTTGTTTTTTTTCTGCTTTTCACACTCTTTCCCCTTATATTTGCCAGCTGTTTTTGTTGCGATATTCTACTCACTTTTTAATCTGCCCCCATAAATAACAATGGTGATGGTGACGATGATGATGACGAAGACAACGATGATGATGATGATGAGGATGATGATGATGGTATATGCTGTTGCTGCTGATAGTAGTGGAGGGATGAATAGTGACGATGATAGCAGTATTGACGAAGATCATGACGACGATCATCGTCACTGCAATGATCAAGGTCAAGAAGCAACACTACAATTTACATCCAAACCTAATTGAATCAGCTGAGAAATTATACTGCTTTATATCTTCTCTTCGCTTCTACTACAGCTTCACATAAACAATTACTACTTGATCATTTCTTTTCATCGCTTTTCAAGATCCATAATCTTCCACTGGCCACTTAGCAACAAAAAACTGCAATATTTTTTCAGCTTTTTTTTTTCCTCCATTTTTTTGCTAAACAGAAGCAGAAAATAAAGAATCAAGAAAAGATTAGGCTGCACGAAAGACATAAATCTCTGGCTGACTCTGTCGTCGCAGATTGCTGATTCTTATTATTATTGTTGCCCAAAAAAAAGTTAGAAGCATTTGCGAATTGTATTCTAGTTTCATATACCATTCAAATACTTCAACTTCGCTGACATCCTCTTTTTATTCCTCTGCACAATTCTTTTTTTTTTTTTAATGCACCGTCACGATTATAGGTCAATAACTGTTTTTCTTCTTCTGTCACTCAGATTTCTTCTCTCGATTTTTCTCCATAATTTTCTTCTACGTTTAAGCTTAGCTATTTTTCCACTTACTGTTTATTTTCTTCAAGATCCTCTTGTCTTCTGCAAAATTCTTCTGGCTTTCTTCAACACTGGACAAATACACGCAACTTATTCTGATCTGTTTTGGTTGACGTCTAATTGGTGATGGTCAAATGTTAATAAAATGAGAGAAAAAGATTAAAACGAAATAAAATTAAATTAAATTAAATGGTAGAAAAGAAGAGTTTTTTCTCCTTGATTGTACATTAATGAGCCTGTCTTTTATTTACTCGTTGTTTTGACGTAAAAAGAAAGAAAGAAAAGAAATGAACTTGAAATGAGAGTATTAATTTAAGAATTTTTAGTTTGTCATTACCTTTCTTAAATAGATGACATGTTTTTTTTTTTTTTTTTTTTTTGCTGTGTTGT